TCTCGATCTCTTGACCTTGTGATCCACCCGCCTCGGCCTCCCAAAGTGCTGGGATTACAGGCTTGAGCCACCACGCCCGGCCTGAGAAAGTGTAACACTTTCTAAATGGCACGTTAGAAAGTGTAACACCTACCTGGAACTTAAGGGGAATCTGCCCACTGTGTATCTTCAGATGTTGGGGCTTCCAATTCAGGTACATGTTTCCGTCAAAAAATAGGTGTACTCCTCCAGTATAATTACACTAAAAGAAAACTGCATATTCTCCGTACAGCTAAGGCGTTTCTCCAGTGTGAACTCTCTGGTGTTGAATGAGAACAGATTTGCAACCAAAGGATTTCCCACATTCACTGCACTGATAAGGCCTTTTTCCAGTGTGTACTCTCCGGTGTTGAATGAGGCTAGAACTTTGGCTAAAGGATTTCCCACATTCACTGCACTCATAAGGCCTTTCTCCAGTGTGAACTCTCAGGTGTTTAATGAGGTTAGATTTACAGCTAAAGGATTTGCTACATTCACTGCACTCGACAGGCCTTTCTCCAGTGTGAACTCTCTGGTGGTTCTTAAGGTTGGAACTATGGCTAAAGGATTTCCCACATTCCCCACACACATAAGGCCTTTCCCCTGTGTGGACTTTCCGATGTGAACTGAAGCTGGAGCTTTGCTTAAATGATTTCCCACATTTACTGCATTCATAGGGTCTTTCTCCAGTGTGAAGTCTCCGGTGGTGAATGAGACTGGAGCTTCGACTAAAGGATTTTCCACATTCATTGCACTCATGAGGCCTTTCTCCAGTGTGAACTCTCTGGTGGTAAATGAGGCTGAAGTTTTGGCTAAAAGATTTCCCACATTCGCTGCATTCATAAGGCCTTTCACCAGTGTGAACTCTGCGATGCTGCATGAGGTTAGACCTTTGGCTAAAAGATTTCCCACATTCCCCACATTCATAAGGCCTTTCTCCAGTGTGAACTTTCCTATGGCTATTGAGGCTATAGATCTGACTAAAGGATTTCCCACATTCAGGGCACTCAAAAGGCCTTTCTCCTGTGTGAACTCTCTGATGTATAATGAAACTGGAGTAGTAGGTAAAGAATTTTCCACATTCATTGCATTCATAAGGCCTTTCTTCACTGTGGACTTTCTGGTGCTGAATAAGGTTACATCTTCGTGTACATGCTTTCCCACATTTGTTGCACTCAAAAAGCCCTTCTCTAGTGAAGATTCTCTGGTCCTGAACAAGTGTGTCTGTGTGGCTAAAGGCTTTATTGCATTTTCTCCAGTTGTGATGACTTTTTCCACTGTAAAAGGCCACCCCACACTTGTTAATGTTATTTGGCTTCTCCACTGTTTGAGCAGCCTCTTGATGGAGAAACCTCATGTTGGCCAGGAAGCCTTTCTCAATCTCCCTGCAGGTGAAGGGCTTCTCTGACACATGGACTGTGCAGCTCTTTGTAAATGAGGCTGTGTCCACATAACTTCTGAAAGGTGCTTCTTTAATGTGCTGCCTCTGGTGCTGCTGAAGATTTGCACTGATGTAGAATTGTTCTCCACATGTGTGTAGTTTCTGCCTACAATTTGTTCCTTGGTGTTCAGCCAAGTGCAAAATATCTCTCAAGACCAAGCCACATATCTCACAGGAGTAGGCATTCTGAGAAGATGAACCTTCTGAAGTTCTGAACTGTGGCACTCCTTTTACAGAAATTCTCTGTAGAATGTCTGTACCCACTGATGAGGAAGGTGCTTCCTCATGCTCCAATCCACGCCAATAACCTAAAAGTAAAGAGGTCATGGTGAAGTACATGTTACCTTTATTAGGAGGAGGCAATGCAATCGCAAATACATATCAATCACAGCAAAGAACCAGTAACATGGGCCTATTTTCAGGAAAAGTAAGTTAGGGGTCAGGTTGAGGAAGCAGCTGTTGTGCATGACTGATCCCTAAGGTCACTGAATAGGGTAGGGTAGGACCTACCAGGTACAGTGCACAAGGATAAGGTACAGCCCAGAATTAAGAGGCGTGTTGTACAATGAATACCTCTGATAATAGCTTTTAGTGAGATCATATCTGCTGGTGACAAGTGATGCTGTGAAGTATATGTTCAGGCCCAGGAAAATCTCACTGGACTAGTAAGTGGTGTTCAGGGACTATAAAGGGAGATGTGCACACTTCAGGACCCAATAATATTAGAGAACACTACAGAAGGAACACTGTGAAGAACAGGTGGGATAAAGAGTCCAGAGAAGTGAGGATTAGCCCTAGCTAGAAGTCAAAATAAAAATGACAAGTGGTGGAAATACGAAAAGGTCGAATTGAGGTGTTTCTGGCAATGGCATCAAAACAAGTCAAACAGGACAGGTTCTTGGTGCAATTTAAAGACAGACCTGCCGGGCACGGTGGCTCAAGCCTGTAATCCCAGCACTTTGGGAGGCCGAGGCGGGTGGATCACGAGGTCAAGAGATCGAGACCATCCTGGTCAAAATGGTGAAACCCCGTCTCTACTAAAAATACAAAAAATTAGCTGGGCATGGTGGTGCGTGCCTGTAATCCCAGCGACTCAGGAGGCTGGGGCAGGAGAATTGCCTGAACCTGGGAG